ATCATCATCATCATCATCATCATCATCATCATCATCATCATCATCATCATCATCATTCATCATCATCATCATCATCATCAGCATCATCCATCATCATCATCATCTCATCATCATCATCATCATCATCATCATCATCATCATCATCATCATCATCATCATCCTCATCATCATCATCATCATCATCATCAGAATCGTCATCATCATCATCATCATCATCATCATGATCATCATCATCAGCATCAGCATCAGCATCAGCATCATCATCATCATCATCATCAGCATCATCAGCATCATCATCATCATCATCATCATGATCATCATCATCATCAGCAGCATCAGCATCATCATCATCATCATCGTCATCATCGTCATCAGCATCATCATCATCAGCACCATCATCGTCATCCTCATCAGCATCATCATCATCCTCATCATCAACACCATCATCAGCAGCAGCACCAGCATCAGCATCAGTATCATCATCATAATCAGCATCAACAGCATCAGCATCATCATCGTCATCATCATAAAAGTATCATCATCATCAGCAGCAGCATCAACATCATCATCATCATCATCATCATCAGCAGCAGCATCATCAGCATCATCATCATCATCAGCAGCAGCAGCAGCATCAGCAGCAGCAGCATCATCATCAGCATCAGCATCATCAGCATCATCAGCATCATCCTCAGCATCGCCATCATCATTATTATCAGCACCGACACCATCAACATCATCAGCATCATCATCAACATCATCAGCATCACAATCATCGTCATCAGCAGAATCAGCGTCATCAGCATCATCATCACCATAATCACCAGCAGTAGCAGCATGATCAGCAGCATCAACATCATCATCACCATCGTATCATCAGAAGCGCTAGCATGATAATCAGCATCATAATCATCGTCATCATCATCATCATCAGCAGCAGCATCAGCATCAGCGTCATCATCAGCAGCATCATTATCAGTAGCAACACCGTCATCGTCATCGTCGTCATCATCATCAGCATCATCATCAGCAGCGACACCGTCATCGTCATCATCGTCTTCATCAGCATCATCATCAACATGATCAATTTCATCACCATCATCATCAGCATCCTCATCAGCATCAGCATCCTCATCAGCATGAGCAGCAGCATCATAATCACCACCAACTATCATCATCATCAGCATCTGCATCATCACCATCCTCAACATCAGCAGATTCATCATCAGCATCATCAGCATCATCAGCACCCTCATCATGATCATCAGTTTCAAGATCAGCATCAGCATCAGCAGCAGCATCAGCATCAGCATCAGCATCATCATCGTCATCATCATGATCGTCAGCGTCAGCATCAGCATCATCCTCATCATTATCGTCAGCACCATCATCACCATCATCACCAGCATCATCAGAATCAGCATCAGCATCAGCATCATCAGCATCATCCTCATCCTCGTCGTCAGCATAGTCATCATCAGTATCAGCATCATCAGCATCATCAGCATCATCCTCAGCTCATTATCAACAGTATCATCAGCATCATCATCATAATCAGCATCATCAGAATCACCATCATCCACCATCATCATCATCATCATCATCAACAACAACAACAGCATCAACATAATCATCAGAATCGTCACCCTCAGCAGCATCATCCACAGCAGCATCCTCGCATAGTCAGCAGCAGCATCACCAGCATCAGCATCATGATCATCATCATCAGCAGCAGCATCATCATCGTCATCGTTATCTTCTGCATCGTCATCATCATCAGCAGCAGCAGCATCCTCATCATCATCAGCAGGATCAGCATCATTGACCGCATCATCATCAGCAGCAGCATCATCAGCATCATCATCATCAGCAGCATTATCAACAGCATCATAATCATCGGCATCGTCAATAGCATCAGCATCATCATCGTCATCACCATGATAAATGTCAGCAGCATCATCATCAGCAGCAGCATTATGACCACCAACACCATTATCATCCTCATGCTCGTCCCCATCCGAATCAGCATCATCAATATCATCATCAGCAGCATCATCATCAGCATTAGCATCCTCATCATCATCAGCAGCATCATCATGATCACCAGCATGATTATCATCGGCAGCAGCAGCATCATCATCACCATTCTCAGCATCGTCGTCGTCGTCGTTCTCTAGTGCTCCTCCTCGGCATCATTATTATCCACCTCATCATCCTCATCCTCCTACACCTACTATTGGTAATCCCCCTCCTCCTCCTCCTCCGCCTCCTCCTCCTCTTCCTCCGCCTCCTCCTCCTCCTCCCTCCTCCTCCTCTCTCCTCCTCCTCCTCCTCCTGCTCCTCCTCATCCTCCTCCCTATCCTCCTCCTCCGCCTCCTCCCGTTCTCTTCGCATTCCTCCACCTCCTTCTCGGCAAACGTTATCGGTGAAGCTCTTAGCATCCAGAAGTCTGAAGTGGCGATGTGGAATCGCCACCGCCTGCTCGCGTGTTTCGTTGTGGCATGTCGTGGAGCCGTGCTCGGCCTATCGAGCCACGGAGGCCCGCCTTCTGCTCATCATCATCCTTCCTCGACTCATCCTTCCTCATCATCCTGCCCATCCAACGCCTCTTACCTTCATCCGCCTCCTCAAACTCATTACCTAATGCCGTCAGCCCCTTTGGCGTGGGCGGTTTAGCAAGTAGTCCAGATTCCGGATTCACGTTCGGGGCGGGGTTTACCTCTCCCCCTACCCTCTCTCTGGGCCTGGAAACCCATTCGCGTCTCTGGAGGGCCAAAAATTGCCCAAGATAGATGGCTCCAAGATGGCATCAGATAGCCTAAAATGGTATCCAGTATGGTGCAAAATAGCGCAAAATGGCCCGAAACAAGCCTCCAAGGGGCGACATGACCGTCCCAAGGCGGCTCAAAGTGGCGATGGAGCCCGTCAAGGACCACCCCCCCGCCCCCCCCCGCGAGCCCAAAATTAATCAAAAGCGTAAGGAAACCAATGAAAGCTGTCGTCTCTCCGTTTCGCGTCCGGTTGGCTCTTGAGGCCTCAAGATGGCTGCAACATCGCCAAGAGAGCCTAAAGAGGGGCCCAAGAGGGCCCCAGGACGGCCACAAGAGTGCCCAAGAGAAACCCAAGAACGCCGCATCAGGCCCAAGAGGCGACATAGCGGACTCCGATGGCGGGGACCATAGTCGTGTGCCCCCCCCCATATTTCGTTGATGGCGCCAGGATGGCCCCAAGAGAGCTCCAAAGGTCCCCCAACGGGTCCAAAAAATGCCCCAACATGGCCAAAGTAGGGTGCCAAGGGGCTCCCATACGGCCACAGAGGGCCTGATCAGGCTGATCCCGACGTTCGAGTTGACAGCTGTTCCCACCCCCCTCAGTGTCCCACTGCATGTTCCTAAACTTCCTTGATCGCAGCAACTCGACTGGGCATCGGTTATGAAGTGGCTGGTGGGGAAACGCGAAACATCACAAGTTTCTCTTATTACTCCTCGGGTTCCTCCGCAGTTGGTGTAACAGGTCAGGTAGCCAGTAGTTATCCAATATACATATACAGTCGAGGTTGAGCATATCGTGGTACAGCATTCCCCTGCAAAAGCTACGTGGCGCATGTCTTAAGCGCCTGCCCATCTGAATCAGGTTGACTATCCTACAGTCAGATACAGACCCAGCTGGAATGGAAGAGTCACCAATGTCTGCGCACATGCACCACTCTTGCATCTAGCGCACGTGTACAGCATGGGTGTATCCCACTATGCCTCGGTCTTTATGCACCACTATATACCCATGTATGTACATATATATATATATATATATATATATATATATGCTTATGTGCGTATATGTATATGCATATGTGTGTATGTGTAATGCTGTAGATGTACAAACATGTACGCATACATACATAGATCACTGCATCCCCCAGACAGTGCTGGCACTTAGGAATTCTTACTCGCTCTCTGGGGAACTGGGCCTGCACGGCGATCTGGCGCCTATGTAGCCGCCGTCGCCGAACCGTCGCCGTTTCGTCGCCACCAGCCGCATGGGGCTGCGGGCCGTTCTGGCCGCCAGGTCATCGCCGCCGTCGCCCCGTCGCAGCCCGTCGCAGCGGGCCGCTGTGGCCGCCATGTCGCCACAGTCGCCGCCTCGTCGCAGCCCGTCGCCTGGGCCCACGGGCCTCTCTGGCCGCCATGCCGTCGCCGTCGCCGACTCGTCGCCGCCCGTGGCCGCCCGTCGTCTGGGCCGCTGCTGCGCATTGCTGCAAATTGTCTGGCACTGATTTGCATTGCTGTGCGTTGCCTTGCACTGCTTTATATATAGACATGTGTATATATATACACACCTATATATATATATATATATATATACAAATAAATGTGAACGTATATAGATACGTATGTGTGCCACATAGACGGCACCACAGCTTACACCATATCGACTACACCACATAGAGTGCACAACCTTCTACTGCACCGCATAAGTTGCACCACTTATAGTGTACCACCCCGAGTGCGCCATACTGATTGCACCGCATAGCTTTCACCACATTGAGTGCCGAATCGATATAAGACCATATAGATATACCGCACCACACAGATGACCCCAAACGTAAGGTACACAACCTAGATTACACAACATGGAAACCACTAAATGCTGTAGACCGCATAAATCGCACAATACGTATTGCACTGCATAGGCTGCACCATATAGCGTAAATCGCATATATGGTACCACACACAGGGCACCATCTACAGTGCACCACATAGACTGTATCACATAGCTTGCACCACATATACGGATGTAGGTAAATATACTTGCACCACATGGATTGCACCACATACATGGCACCGCATAGCATGCTAGCCAAAACTGTTGAGCGGTCCATGCTGGCCATCATATGTACATAGAGATGACGCACGTTATCTTTCAAACTGCCTTGCTCCTCTGTCCCGTATGTTGCCTAGACCTATTCGTTATCGGAGCCGTTCCCCCTGCTCCACATCCCTCCTCCTGCCATGCGCACTTCCACATAATATCTTAGACCATGGAACGAACATATTGATATGCGGGAAGAACACCTAAAGAAGCGCTGGCGCTGAATACCAAGGCTCCCTCTGTAAAACAAAACTGTTGACGGGTAGTCGTGAGCGAAGCGTGCCTTTTGCATAGTCGTATTGGAGTACACTGCAATCAAATCTGAGGACACCTCGACAGAAGCGGCCCACGCCGTCACACTGAGCGCTGGGTTCACCGCTGAATGCGTGCCAAGGAGTCATAGATATTGTCAAGTATATACCAGGAATCTGAGATAGGCTCGGGAGCTCTCCCCAACGAGAGGTCGTAAAGCTTTCGAGTACATCCCTAAGAAACTACGTCACTTTAAAAAATAGGCGACGAGAGCATAGCCGCACTTGCACGCCACAGTATTCCTGCCCGAGCACACGCTCGACGAGCACAAGCTCGCGTTTGATGGAGAGGAGGGGGAAGGGCCGCCCGAAGAGCACGGGTTCGCTCTCCAAGGTGGAAGGGTCAGGGATGCGCCTGGGTCCTGCGGGGAAGTGCACGCAAGCCTCTCAGGCACCCTGCACCCCGGCTGGGTACCCCGACTCGGCAACCCGACTGTGCACCTTATCCTCTATCGGCCTTGCGACGCTGCCACCGACAGCCTCCTTGGCGGCGATCTTGGCTCCCTCCACCATCGACCGCATCTTCTTCCAGACGAGCTCCTCCGGCACGTTCACGGCCCCTGCGGCGGTCGAGAAGCCGCAGTCGGTGCAAGCCATCACGCGCTCCACGCCCACCAAGCGGATGTAGTTCAGCAGGCGCTGAGCCACCAGCCTGGGGTGCTCGATGTGTGCAGTGGTGGTGTCCAGGACGCCAGGGAGCAACACCTTGTCTGTGACGCCAGGAAGGGGTCCCACCACTCTGAGAAGCAGCCTCCTCCTAACAAGTCTGGTGGAGTCGCGCTAGACACTTCGCAGACGCCTCTGTAGGAATTGTTAGGGACAAGCCTGCTGCTCAGAAAAAAGTGGTCCCTCTTGTTGGCGTCTCCCCCTCATCGCTGAACCTTGTCCTCTGGCAGCTTGACGGTCTCGAAGACCTCCCACTCGTGCGCGTGCCCTGGGTTGCAGGCCTTCAGGGAGATAGACGATTATGATGATGATGATGATGATGATGATGACGATGATGATGCTGGTGATGATGGTGCTGAAGACGTCGATAATGACGCTGATGTCAATGACGATGACCTTTGTAGTGGATTCACGACGACGACGACGATAAGGATGACGGTGGCGGTGCTGATAGTGATGGTGTGTGTGGTGGTGATGGTGTTTGTGATAATGATGATCATGATGATGATGCTGATGATGGTGCGTATGATGATGATGCTGATGATGATGACGATGATGGTGATGATGCTTTTGATGAAGACTATGCTTATGATGGTGATGATGATGGTGATGATGATGGTAATGGTGATGGTGATGATGATGGAAATGATGGTGATTATGTTGGTGGGGTGACGGCGATGATGATGATGATGATGATGATGATGATGATGATGATGATGATGGTGGTGATGGTAATGGTGATAATAAAAACGACGACGACGACGACGATGATGATGATGATGATGGTGACGATGATGGTTGTGGTGATGATGATGCTGAATTGTGGCGATGAGGATGTTGATGTTGATATTGATGTTGATGATGATGGTGATGATGAGAAGAATGGTGATGATGATGGTGAGCTACAGGCCGACGACGACGACGATAATGTCGACGAAGACGACGAAGACGACGACGACACGATGACGATGATGATTATGAGTATGCTGATGCTGATGCTGATGCTGATGCTGATGATGGCATCTGAAGGTTTGATTAGGTTCGCACAGAAAGCCTCCAAAGATATGAACTTGGGCTTCACGCTCAGGATGGCGGGCGCCACATCCGCCAAAGGCACGTCGGCATCGTGGGGGCCAGGGTAGTTGCCCCAGCACACGTGCACCCGGCACTGCTCTGCAGGGATGTTCGCGAGTGCCTTCCTCCTCCTCCTCCGTCGCCCTGAACTCCCTCGCCCATCCTTCACTTTGCATCCCATTCCTCATCCTCCTCCTCGTACCCAGAACTCCTCTGGTTCCTGCTACTCCTTCCCCCATCCTCCTCCTCCTCCTCCTCCTCCTCCTCCTCCTCGCCCTCGCCGTCCTCCTCATCCTTCTCCTCCTCCTCCTCCTCATCTTCCTCCTCCTCCTCCTGGAGCCTCGTTCATCACATCCACGTGCAACTGTGCGGTCTTCTTGAACTCCTCCACGCTCTGCTCCTTGAATGCCGTGTGCCGGCCCATGGCCAGGTCCGGGCAGTCCACCTGCGCGCCCCCCATCCTTCGCATCCCACAGCCGTCCCCTCGCCCGCCTTCTCCATCTCATCCTCTCCGCAGGGTTCTCTGCATACTCTGGTCCATCAATAAGGAGAGGCTCACAGCGTGCTGCGCTGCTGCGGTGGCGGTACTTGCCGCAGACAGTTGGCTGTCCGATCCGGCTTCCTTGCACAAGAGGAAGAGCCTGTGCGCCAGCTGCCTGCGGTGACGATGCATCGGCTAGATATGGAGGATCTACCGACCATTCGAGGTCAATGCGTCCCCCCATGTTGTTCAGCCCCCTCTCCGCCGACCGAGGTTCACCAGCCCTGCTCAGGACCCGCAGGAACCCGAGTGGCCTCTGCGTGAAAAACTCCTCACCATCCCGCAGCCGAGACGCGCTGGCCCGACCCCCCCCCTTCTCACCCCGAGCAGCGCGTCCTCCTCCTCCTCCTCCTCCTCCTCCTCCTCCTCCTCCTCCTCCTCCTCCTCCTCCTCCTCCTCCTCCTCCCACTCCTCCCTGTCGCACCCCCAAACGAGTCGGCACGGCGGGCTGGGCGTTTCGCCTGACTTCCTCATCATGTATGATCCTGGAGCTCGAACTTCGCAACAGCTTCACACATGGAGGGGGTGGCGTGTTTTGAATGCGGTTCCTCAGCGGGGTCGTTTTCAAAATGTAGCTCCCGCCTCAGCGCCATGCGCACTTGTGTTAACAGTTTGCAACAGCTTCAAGGATGGAAGGGTTATTTTCACTACGTAGCTCTTGCCTTAGCACCGCGCACATGTGTCGTAAACGTCTGCAACCGTTTCACGAATGGAGAGGGGGGTCCCACAATGGTGTTCCCTCTTTAGCGCCGCGAGCTTTCGTCTAAAACAGTTGCAGCAGTGTCACCGATGAAGGGGTGGTTCTCAAATTGGTGCTCTCGCTTCAGCGCCGCGCACACTCGTTCGAAACATCTGCAGCTGTTTCAAGGATGGAACGGTTTTTGCAAAATGTGGCTCTCGCCTTCGCGCCGCGAACATTCGTCTTCACTTTGTGCAACCAATTCAAACATGGAAAGGAGGTGGCGTTCACAATGATGCTCTCGCATCAACGCCGCGCACAGTTGTCTCAAAAGTTCGCACTAGCTTCACGGGTGGAGGGCGGTAATTTCTCAAAGTGGGGCTGTCGCCTGAGCGCCGCGACCATCAGTTTCGAAATCTTGCAGCAGCTTGAAAGTTTGATGACTGGTCGTCCTTAAAAGCGACTATCGCCTCAGCGCCGCGCGCATTCATTATTTTATGCAACGCTTCGCAGAACTGAGGACTGCTCTTTCGCCCATTTGGAGCAATCGCCTGAAACTGCGCTCACTTAAAAGACTCATAACTTCAGCGCACGTAGCGCTGCACAGATCCATGGACTCTTGTTCAAAATGAAGCTGTCTCTTGAGACTTTCTCACAGGCCATGGCCGCAAGTGTAAACTTGCGCATCAGCTCCACTGTCGGGGAGGCGGTCCTTCTTCGAAAGGGGGATCTCGCGGGACACGTGGCTGAACTGTATGATCATTGACGTTCGAGTTCCTGATTACGGGCCACTGAGATGCAAGGCAATCACGCGCGATTCGAGATGCCACTGAGATGAAAGCGGTGCTCTCGCCAAAATGGCGGGCCCAACTATGCTGGTAGTTGAAGGGTACTGTAAGGACTTGCATGGAGCGTTAGAGCAGGGAGCCCTCCCCCTGGGCACAGCAACGAGGCAGATAGGGCCTGTCCGTCGCCAATAGATTAGCGATGGGCCCCTGGTAGCGAATCCGTACGTTCCTGGGCGGGGTGGGCTTTAAGACCCCTATCGGCGACGAATGGGCGATTGGATGTCGATGACTCCCCGTCTGGGCCTATCCTACCATAACGTTGCCCCTGGTCCTCCTCCTCCTCCTCCTCCTCCTCCTCCTCCTCCTCTTCCTCCGCAGCAGCAGCATCATCACCCACCACCACCACCACCACCACAACCACTACCCCACCACCACCACCACCACAACCACCACCACAACAACCACCACCACCACCACCACCACCACCATCATCATCATCATCATCATCATCATCATCATCATCATCATCATCATCATCATCATCATCATCATCATCATCATCATCGGCATCATCATCCTCCTCATCCTCATCATCATCATTATCAGCAGCAGCGACATCATCACCACCATCACCACCAACAGCATCCACATCAGCATCAACATCAGCATCAGCATCATCAGCACCATCATCATCAGCATCAGCATCAGCATCATCATCAGCATCGTCGTAATCATCAGCATCATCATCTATCATCACCACACATCATCATCATCATCATCATCATCATCAGCGGCATAATCATCATCATCATCATCATCATCATCATCATCATCATCATCATCATCGTCATCATCGTCATCATCATCATCATCATCATCATCATCATCATCATCATCATCATCATCACAACCACCACCACCATCGTCATCATCATCAGCATCATCATCATCATCACCGTCATCATCATCATCATCAGCAGCAGCAGCAGCATCAACATCAACTTCAACAGCACCATCAGCATCATGGTCATCATCATAATCATCATCATGACCAGCATCAGTATCATCATCATCATCATCAGCATCAACATCAGCATCGTCATCGTCATCGTCATGATCATCAACGCCGTAAACAGCATCAGCATCATCATAAGCAGATTCATCATCATCAACATCATCATAGTCATCACCACCATCATCATCATCATCATCATCATCATCATCAGCATCACCATCATCATTCATCATCAGCATCAGCAGCATCATCATCAGCATAGTAATCGGCATCATCATAGTCATCATAATCAGCATCATCATCATCATCATCATCATCATCATCATCACCATGGGTATCCTCATCACCATCATCATCAGCATCATCATCAGCAGCATCATCAACATCATCATCGTCATCGGCATCATCGTCGTCGGCGGCATCGTTATCGTCATCGTCATCCTCATCACCATCATCATCATCACCATCATCAACAGCACCATCAGCATCATGGTCATCATCATAATCATCATCATGACCAGCATCAGTATCATCATCATCAGCATCAACATCAGCATCGTCATCGTCATCGTCATGATCATCAACGCCGTAACATCATCAGCATCATCATAAGCAGATTCATCATCATCAGCATCATCATAGTCATCACCACCATCATCACCATCATCATCATCATCATCATCATCATCATCATCATCATCATCATTCATCATCATCAGCATCAGCAGCATCATCATCATCAGCATAGTAATCGGCATCATCATAATCATCAGAATCAGCATCATCATCATCATCATCATCATCATCACCATCGGTATCCTCATCACCATCATCATCAGCATCATCATCAGCAGCATCATCAACATCATCATCGTCATCGGCATCATCGTCGTCGGCGGCATCGTTATCGTCATCGTCATCGTCATCAGCATCAGCATCAGCATCAGCACCAGCATCAGCATCGGCATGAGCATCAGCATCGTCATCAGCACCATCATCATAATCAGAATCAGCATCATCATCATCATCGTCGTCGTCGGCATCGTCAGATCGTGATCGTCACCGTGATCGTCATCGTTATCGTCATCAGGATCAGCATGAGCATCAGCATCAGCACCAGCATCAGCATCAGCATCATCAGCATCAGCATCATCATCCTCATCAGTATCATCATCATGATCATCATCATCATCATCATCATCATCAGCTTCATCAGCATCATCATCATCATCACCATCATCATCATCATCATCATCATCATCATCATCATCATCATCATCATCCTTTACTCCCTCCTCCATATCGTATTCCTCCCTCCTCGCACCTGCAAGCTAAATCCGGCGGCCGCTATGCGCTCGTACTCGGTCTTCATGGCCTTGCCCAAGGCGCGGACGTACTCCTCGAAGGAGGAGGGGAATCAGAATAACCAAGAAGAAGGGGAGGCGAAGGGGAGGAGAAGATGAGGAGGAGAGGGGAGGAGGAGGGCAAGAGAGGATGAGAAGAAACAAGGAGGAGGCGAAGGGGGAAGAGGAAAACTCCTCGTGTGTCTTGTAATATTTCCCGCTGTTCGGGAAGAAGGTCGTCAGCGTCCCTGGGGAGGGCGACGAGAAGAAATACTGGCTCATGGGCTTGCCCTTGGTGGCATCCGCACCTGCAATCACGCCAGTGATGCGCTCGATCTCGGACTCCAAATTCTTCAGCCCCTCAGGCAAGTAGCCGATCTCGCCGTCGCAGGCCGGGTTCTCAATCACCGTCTCCTACAGGAGAACGCAAACTATACACCTGCGCGGATCCTGGCCAGACTCATCCTGGGCCCTAGGTCGGTGTATGTATAAACCGATCCTGGGCCCAGGATCGGCCTGGCCAGGATCGGTGGTGCAGGTTTGTAGTTAGCGCCCTCCGATCCTTCTCCAAAGACAGGAGCCCCTTACGGCCCTTGAAACGCTCGGCGTACTCCGTGCTCTCCTCCAGATCCGCGGCGGTGGCGCTACGAGCCGTTGTGCCGAAGCCGCTCATGCGGGCCCGCGCCGAGCTGACGTAGTCGCGGCGCGAGATCTCGCCGTCGTTGATGATGTCAGAGGAACCACAAAACGGCACTGACACGATGCCTTGGAGCCCCGCGCGGGTTTCTTGGATCAACGCTGGACCCCTCTCTCTGGCGCGCGGAGCGCGGCAGGGGCGGCGCCGGAGGCGCCGCCCAGGGGGGGCCCTGGCCCCGACCCAAGAGATCTTGGCGGAACTCCGAAAAGCTGCCCGTCCATGCCGCTTCTGGCTCCCCCGGGCTGTCCAGGCCCGCGTCCAGCTGCTTCGCGAAGAGCCCGGCGGTGGCCCCCCGGAGCTGCTCCTCCCAGTCCGGCGGCTGCGGCACGTCGCCGCGCACCACCGGCACCATGGCGGCGGGGCGGGGCAGCGAGCCGACGTGG